TCCAGCGTGGGTCCCCCATGGGGTCACAAGTCCTGCCAGGAGACCTGGCAGGGCTCCTCTTTCCACAGATCCACAGGTCCTGCCAGGAGGTTGCTCCAGTATGGTCTTCCCACAGGGTCACAGCCTCCTTCGGGCATCCACCTGCTCCGGAATGGGGTCTTCCCTGGGCTGCAGGTAGAGATCTGCTCCACCATGGAGCTCCGTGGGCTGCAGGGGGACAGCCTGCCTCACCAGGGGCTTCACCAGGGGCTGCAGGGTAATTTCTGCTAGGGTGCCTGGAGCACCTCCTCCCCCTCCTGCTTCACTGACCTTGGTGTCTGCAGAGTTGTTTCTCACTCCTCTCTCTGGCTGCAATTTCTGTGCTGGGTTGTTTCCCCCTTCTTAAATATATTACCCCAGAGGCGCTACCACCATTGCTGATTGCCTTGGCATTGGCCAGCAGCAGGTCTGCCTTGGAGCCGGCTGGCATTGGCTTTACTGGACATGTGGGAATCTTCTAGCAGCTTCTCACAGCCCCTGCAGCCCCCCACTACTAAAACTTTACCACACAAACTCAATACATCCACCTAATTGTTTATTGATTTTATTATTTATATATGGTTTAAAAATTGATGGTTTATTTTTGAAAGAGAGAACTGATCTCATTTATCCCATTTTTTAGAAAGGCTTACTTTGGAGCTATTACCCAGTCTGTGTCAGCAATAACTCAGAGCAAAGACAGGTCTATATGAAGGAAAATTTAGGAAGCCTGTAAGGCTGGCCTACTACGCCCACTGCAGCTCTCTGTTTTTCACTTACTCTGTGTGTTGTTTCAGGGAGTCCCTGCAAGTCCTTCCAGTTTCTCTTTTATGCCCAAAATCTGTTGTCCCCTGTTCTCTTTCTCTTGAATTGAGGGTTCTCAGTTGCTCTTTTCCAGCACAGATACGTGATACAGATCCTTTCTTCTCCAAGGCAGCATCTCCAGTATGTCCTCAGCCACAGGTTCTGTGTCCCTCTATGGTTTGCCTTGGCTCGTGTTTCCCTTCTTTGTTTCCTTGTCTCCCCATGCCAGGACCAAAGTCTGTCCATGCCATTACTTCTCTTTCTTTTGTTTTTCTTCTTATGCCTCTGCTGTCCCTGTCATTATCACCTCTCAGTCTTCTCATGTGCCACATACTATGTGTGTCTCATTCCTTTCTTCCTCATCATACCATTTTTCCTCTTTCAGCTAGTTGTATGAAGTGGCTGGTGTCACAGACTTAATACACAAAGAGTTTTCCAGGGAAGAGGGTAGCTGCTGGGATGCTGAGATACAGGCTTTGCATGGAAAACCAACCAATGTTCTTGAAGCAACATGCAGGGAACCTGTTATTTCAGTGGGTTAACCGTGGACAAGGAGCTGTTGAAGACCAAAGAATTTCATAATAATTGATTTTATATTACAGACAACCTCTTTCCTCTTCTGCAGCATGAGTGGGAGAAGAATAATTTCCTAGTTTGCCTAGGAAGGCAAGAAAATCTGTCACTCACCTAACTGGTCATGAATTCAGTCGCAGTGCTGCATTGGGAAGCCTGGTGGGTTAGGTGGAAAGGAGGAAAGAGCAGTATGCCACCTCAGGCCTCACTGGGAAGTAGAAGAGCCTAAGGACTTGAAAAAACAGACAGTGAAGTAACAATTTGTCAACAGGAAGCTGGGAGGAGGTAGGGATTTTTGCCATCAGGAAACATGACATTACTAGTGATCTTCAGGGACAACTCAGTGCTCACTTCTGAGTGAGGGTGTATATGGGTTGTTACTGTTCTGTGAAAGAAAAACAGGCAAGAAAACAACCTAAGCTGCTGCAAGGCACCTGCAGAAAGCCAATGTTATTACCCTGTTACTCCTTCTACTGAGCCATCCAAACTAGGCTAGGAGAAAGGTCATCACCTTTAAGTTTTTACTGTTCCTCCTCCTGATACTAGACCAGTCATCTGTAAATTGTGTAAAACATGTGGCTTGGTGTTACACAATCTACAGTCAGATCTGTGGTGGCTGGTTTAAAGTATAGTGTAATTAAAGCTGCATAATAACCTGTCAAAACTTGTAGATTTACCACAATGCAGTTTCAGGTTTGAGGTTTATGTATGTTGCAGTGGGCTCTAAAATAAGAGACTAACTGCCTTTGAATACTTTGGGTAGTTTCTGTCTGTCAGGTAAAAAATTTTCAGAGTTACAAAATATGTACAGACGCAAAGATGTGCTTGCTTACTAGAAGCTCACTAATTGATAGTATCTAAAGTGATGTGCTTGGAACACTTTACTTTTGAGTCCCTTTCATTCAAAGCAGTATCAAAGCTCTATAGTGGGTTAGGTACCACAGCCTAGATTGACATTTGACCTGGAGCTATTGAGAAATGGCTCTAGTAGGATGGGAAGAAAATATTTTACAGGGCCAGCAACTCTTATGTGAAGGATTCAGTGAAAAGTCAGAGAAGACACGTCTTAAAATGCTTAAAATTTATTAATCGTCATTACTTTTTTTCATAAGGAACAAAAATAAAACAGTATTCCAAAACAAAATAGAAGAAGAAAATATACCACACCCAGATAACATGACTAAGACTAAGAAATGGCATAACATTAATTCTGAAAGAAATGACCCAATAAATCAATTTTCCAAAACCACAATAAATAGCAATGGTTCAACATTTAAAAGCATCTTATGAAAGAATGTACATATTATTATTATTATTATTATTATTATTAGTTTACAAAAATCCTTCATATGCCCATGTTGGCAAAAAAAAAAATATATATATATATACTTCTGTAAACAGTTAACCACAAAGAAAAAAAATCCAGTTACTATGCTGATGGTATTATGTAAACAAAGAGTAGTGTGCAGCAACTTCTCATGGTAGGATTTCTTTCTTTTTCTCACAGGAATATATAGAGAAATATGTCCATCATAAATTGTTCAAAATATTGAAATTTACAGTTTTGAGAAGATATGGCTTTCTGCAGTCTAAATCTATCTTAATGTAAAAAGAAAAATAAAGAAACAGAGAGGTACAGTTTTCCTTGGGTTTCGTTTGTTTGTTTTCTGGACTTTAGCTTTTGATTTGTCTCAATGAACTGGAATGAAAATGTTATAGAAAAGGTCAGTCTGTGTCAATGGAAATATTAGATATTGTCAAGTGTCTGTATTATGCCATCACAGGCAAGCTTCAAGTCAGAAAAGAATGTTGTTCCCAGACTTTGTGCAAGTTTAACTCCAGCTCTCAGTCTTATGGTAGAACACTTCTCAAAACAAACAAACTAACAGAAAATGTCAAAATGACCTTATGCTGTACCTCTCAAGGTGTAAAAGAAAAGACATGAAAAACAATAGGAGATATACTGGTAATGAAAACTGAAATAATGTAGACAGACATACTGAGTTTGTATACAGAAAATATCATCTGTTCAAAATTTTAGCTGCTTTTGACACTTTTGTATTTTTTCAAAGCTTTTTTTAGTCTTATGTTCAACCCTTGCTTGACAACTTCTCTCTAGTTCTAATTTTAGGCATTCCCTTGTTCCTGAGAGGCCTTTATCTGGTTTGTTGCCTGTTGGGTGCTGACTTGGGGAATGCATTCAGCACCCACACAGCTGCATTTCTCTACATAGGTGTATGAGTGATCAAGGTAGGTTCCGTCACTGCACATCAGAGTCACCTTTCTTTGGCTGGTCTTGATTTCTTGACAACATGAGCATTTATGTTCCATCATGTTTGCCTCTGCAGAATATCTGATTGCAAAACCAATAAAAGAGAAATATTCAGAAATTATATGAGAAATACCACTGTCCCTCTCACTCATTACTAAATATAAACAGGAGCTTGCATGTGGGACTGTTGTTCAATATCACCATTCTTACAGTATTGTGATGAAATTTAAGTTGCTCCTCATTATAAAAATGGATGGATCTAGCTCCTCATTAAGGCACAGAAAAAGTAAATTAATTAATCGAGATCACATATTAAGCCAGTCCAAAATGAGAGAATATGAGAAACAAATAACCTCACTTTTACATGGGCAAAATCAAAACTCTGGTCTATTCACTCTGACACTGAAGAGGCTGTTAAAACATTATGAGTCTTGAGGTAATTAAACTAGTACAACATCATGTCTGTTAAAAATTCTTGCTAACACATTAGAAAATTCTGATGAGTGGGTGGATGTTGGATATGTTAGAAAATCACTTGCCATTTGTTTTATGTAACTAATGTAAAGAGTAGAAGACAAGAGACCACAGCCATCTTTTATACCACTTACCGTGAGTAAGCATCACAGCTGCCTTCACAGTATGTCATCTCAACAGGTGCTTGAGATACACATCCATGATATTTGATGACAGTAGTAGTATTGTGCTTCATGCAAGCTGAGGTTGTCACAAGACAAGGGAAAATAGGTTAAAATATATATGCATATAAATAGGTACCTGTGTATTGTAGACAGTTTGTAATAGAAAACTGAGATGGATGGAGCTAAAATAGGAAACTAGGTCACAGTGTGTTTCTCTTTTAATTACTAAGGGACAAATGATGACTCTTGCTGCTTGTGTTATCCATGAATGAAAAATTCCCTTTTGCTTATGCAACTTTGGTGCAGCATGCAGAAATAAAGAGCAGTACTGTGGCAACTGCTCAATGCACACCCACCTCCCAGGACTGGATTCACTTTCTTTCTTAAAGAGAATGTATCTATGGAAGTTGGAGAAGAGTCACAGTCCTCTCCCTCCCACAAAAAAGCTACCATTTAACAATAGGGGATGGGAAAGTTTACTATATCCATGTTTTCCAAGGCCCTGAAGTGCATGCTGGAAATGTTCTGTTCCTTTCTTTTTCCACCTGTTTCCTTTCTCACCCCAGTGTGAGGCAGTGGTCCCAAACTTGGTCTGTTCACTTCTTCTCTATACATCTACCATGCAAGACAGACTAATATACCTTATAAGGCATGTATTATCATTACTTACTTCTAACAAAATTATCATTACTTACTCCTCGGTTTCCTTCGGCACTCTTTACAGCAGCCATCATCAGATATCTTGATGTCATCCTTGAGTGGGAAAACAGAAAAAGGTAACTCAAGTTTCATATCTGCATACTAAAGCAGACTTTCCCTGCTTCCTAAGTTTCTCTGGCACCAGAAAGTTCTTTGTAATGACATGGTATCTTATTTCAAGCAAATCTAAATATTAAGGCATATAACTACTTCAATTCAATATTAATAAGAGTTCTTTGAAAGCTGATATTAAGAGGGACTGGAACTGCTTTGCTGTCATCAAAGTTCAGTAGTAAAGTTTCAGAAATAAATCTTGTAGCACATGTGGGATATTTTAAGTTACCCAAGTCAGTACAAGTGAAGAATTATGTCAGAAAATGTAACACAATTGATGAAATAACTGACTCCCCAGATGTGTGGGGCTGATTCTAGTCTATCCTGAGCTGTAGTAAGTTGAATGATGTTGTGAACTGAAGTAACTTATTTTTCTTCAACTTTGCTTTCAATAAGTGAATTCTAAAAAAGAATTTATAATCTTAAGAAATTTAGGAATAAAAATCCCATTATTTTTCAATAAGATTCTTGCTTCTAGGTCACCTGACATTTTAGGAATCCAAAACATTATGCTGTAGTCTTTTATCTAGTGCCCAATCCTCAATGAGGATTGATATATCACCCATTTGAATTTTGATTTGTTTTTCTGAAATGAAATTTGATGGGAAACAGATTCAGAGAGGATAAAATGAGAACTATATCCTGTGTGATGCTTCTGCTAGGTTTTTTCTTTGGACACCATGATCTTTCTAAAACTAGTGTTAGCCACTCCAACCTTTTCAAACATGAGAACTGGTAGAAGAGTACTTACTGGATCACAGTCATCAGGGTTGAAGGAAGAACAGCTTTTCTGTGAGGCAACTTGAATGACTTGGTCATCAGATTTTTCACATGTGTAAGTTGTACAGTTATCACCAGGTGGGTTCCAGTGTTGTCCAACCTGAAAGTAGTTAAAATTAAAGCGAGTGAAAATTTTCTTATATAAAAATGAAACACTCCCCCCACCCCCAGTGTCTTATCATTGCTGCCTACTGTGGTTTGAGTATTCTGAAAATTTCCTTGAATTTCAGCTGACAGTTACTTGTCGTATTATCATACAGCTGCAAGCCTTTTTCATTAACCAAGTGAAGAGGCTGAATTTTTATCTGGATATGGACAAGGTTTTTTTGTGAATAGGATAAGTATGTGGACACATTTGGAAAGATTAATTTGTGTTTGAATGGTTTTGTCATCAGAATTTATGGGTATGTCCATTCAGACACATGGCAGGATTTCTGCTGTCTTCACTAACTTATCCTCTACTAAAACTCTTGGCTAACTTGAGATTGTCTGTTTGGAGCAGAAAACTGCGTCCACAGATAAAATTATCCTTTGAACAAAATGGGTGCTATATTTTCAGAGCTGAAGGCAAATAAGGACCCATTGCTTTCACCTATGTATTTTCCTATGCTGATTTCTGAAAGCTGTTGTTCAGTATCACAGTTGCTTCCAGAAGTCTTAGTTAGAACTGGAGTTTCATGGCTTGAGGTTCTGTTCAAGCTGTGTCCATTCAGTCCATTCCCTGCCTGAATATGCATTTGTCTAACATGAGAAAAGATGCAGCAAATAAATGTGACAAAGACGAGGAGAGGAAAGTGTGAAAAGACTAACAGTGTTCACCAAAAGTGAACCAAACCAGGGATAGTTACTTGGAGCACGTGTGTAATGTTGTCTCCCACAGTCACTGTACAGGCCACTGCCTTGCACGTGCCACAGCACTGACCAGGTTTCTTTGTATACTTATAACCCTGTTTTGAAAGAAATAGAGAGGAAATGACATTGAGTCAGGACACAGACCATAACTGGTGGATATTTGAGCTGAGGGGGATAGGAATTACTGACAGCAAAATAACACTCACCACTGGGCAGTATGTGTCACAGGTAATAGGCTCACACCTGACAGTGGCATGGTGAAGGCCTGAGTAAGAGGATTCAGAGCAGGTGCATTTTTCACAGGGGCCTGATGGAATGACAGCTCCAGGCTAGGCAAAGTCAGAAAAAAAGTCATTATTGGTCGGTAAAAGCAAGTTACTTTGTGTATGTACATCATAGACAATACAAAGCTGAACTGTGTATGGGCTAAACTATCCTTAAATACAATTTTGTTTCTTTTATTTAAGCAGAGTTTCTGTTGTTGGTAATATAAATTTTGGAATTAAATTCTGCTAATGCAGAAAGGAGAGCAGAAAATGCTTTTGCTTGTAGGGAGAGTGTTGATATGCTGACCTTGACTGAATGATTAATAATGTTTTATCTCAGGCCTTTCCGCAAAATGTGGTCCATGATAGGAGTCTCAAAACATTGCATTATGAACCTATGTGAAGGTGCATTTTTATAGTAAGTTACTCTGTGTACTTACTGCATAGTAGGTTTCATTGACTACACAGCCATGTCCTGTAAAGAAGGAGGAAAAATGGTGTCATAGAGGTGTAAGTTTTAAGAAGAAGTAGTATGTGAAAAAACTGCTGCTTTGTTGGCCTAATATAATAAAATGGATAATTTACATCTTTCTCTTTTAAGGTTGTTGTATTCATAAGTTTAGAAAAATGTAGCTGTGAATAACACATGAAGAAGGTACATAGTACTCACTGCATTCAAAGGTAGGACAGCATTTTCCAGGCTGCATTACTGTGACTACTTCCTGTCCTGCTAAGCACTGGGGTGTGGTCTCAGGGCAGAGGCTAGTGTTGCAGTCTGTTTAATGTAAGAAAATATAGAAAATAATGAACTCAGAATTTTAAAATGAAAGTAGTTTTGTTTTGCATGAACTTCAGCAGTTTTCCCATGGGGCAAATATGGTAGTGTTTACACAAGCTAGTTTAATGACTAATTCAGTATATTTGCCCAGCTATTTTAAAGTGAATGGGTTTTTCCATAACCTTTGTAAAACAAAGCATTGTCTGAGAAGAATAAAGTGGTGATTGCTGGAAAGAGATACTTCCAAAGAGAAATTAGTACCAATAGGGAAATCTGATGACTCTCAGAGGTTCAGGAACTTTCTTGAGCAGTTTTTAAATGTTCAAGACTTTTTTTTTAAATTAAGATTTTTTTTTTTATACTGGTCTTTGAAACAGAAAATACTTTGAACAGTTTTTTCATATTGTTTCAGGTGGTGGCAACATTAAAGGTTTTCAATGTTAAATTATAGGAGATTTCCAGTCACTTTTCTGTGTGTAACTGTGTAAAATATTTTAATCTTTAAATTTGTTCTCTTCAGGCATCTAGTAAATGCTCTGCAAGAAGGTCTTAAGAAGTGGAGTGAGGGAGAAAAACATTATGAAATCAATGCAACGTATTAAAAAAAATGAGAAATATTTGCTGTCGTTCCCCAGAATGAATATAGTATATTCCCCATGATAAAGAACAAAGACAGTACTTACAGCACTCAGTCCTGGTACAACATGGATCTTCTGGTATCTGGATCTGTACAGACGTGTAACCTGGTTCATCACAAAATACTTGATGTGTCAAAGAACATTTGTGTTTTGTACAGTGTACTTTAAGTGTATTTTTGTCACAGACACATTCCTGGCAATCTTTTGTCCATTTTTCCCCTGGCTATATAAAAAAGAAAAAGGAAAAAAAGGAAGAAAAAAATTATATAAAAATTCAACCCAAAATAATTCTATTTCTTTCTAGTTGACTTATTCATGTATACAGTGATACCTGATCACATCAGCCTTTTCATATTTCTATTATTTTTAGATTTTATAAGAAACCTTCAAATAGAAGCTTGAAAGATATTAAAGTCCACTGAAGGTTCCGAGTGTGTTCACACAGCTATCACTTTCTATTTATTTGTAGTGTTAGTATGAGGGATACAAGAGGCCTAAAGGAGAAGTGAGTGAGTTTGCATGCATTTTTGAATAAGAAATTGTCATGCTACATACTCATTTGCACATTAGGTTTCAGAGAGAATTTTCTGTGATTTGTATGCAGCTGAGGAACTAAGAATGCAGACTAATGTTATCAGCAACAGGTGAACTTTGTTATCCATCTGTCCCTTCATCTCTAGTAACTTTAGTGAGGTAAATTTGTGGAAATAAAAGTAGCACATATGCCAAAGTTCTACTACTACCACCACCTATCTCTTTTTTTTCCTGTTTCTCTCTTTTTTTTTCTTTTTTTTTTTTTTTTCCCAGTATGTGAGGTGATAGTTATTGAAAGAATATCCCATCACATACTGTTATATTTCTTAGGGAGTAATGTGGTTTCTGCTCTGGCACTCATAATTATTTTCAAGTCTAAAGGGGAATGAACATTTGAAAAAAACCTAGTCTCCTCCAACCTAAGCAAAATTTTGTTTTTGTGAAACACTAAATATCCTCTTGTTTCACTTGTCTGTGCTTGAAAAACCACACTGATTGTGATACTCACCCATCTGGATACTCCATTTGGTTCCCTACATGCTGGGGAAAAAAAAAAGAATGGAGATTTAGACCACTGAAAACTGACATAAAGGAGTAAATTTGTGCAGTTTCAAATGGAAAGACTGTGACTATAAAACTATGAATGAATGAATGAATGAATGAAATAAAATGAATATGCAGACTAGTTCTTCTGAAATGTAGAATTCTACCATCTTGGTATGTCTCATGTAAGGAATGAAGATGGAAAAAAGCTAATACTGATTATTATTCAATTTTTAGATGGGGAGACTAAAGAAACTTAAAGAGGCTGATTTTCCCATGATCTGACCATGTAGAAGATGGCAGTAGAGCACAGGCCTCCTGACTATCTTTCTTTATTCCCAAACTAGCTACAGATTACTTACAGCATTCATAGACACAGATGTTGCTGTCTTCACTTGTGACTGTCTTTCCTTCAGGACAGAAACATCCTTCAGTTACTCCATAGCCAGGAAGCTCAACAACACTGGAGTGGGAGGGAAGTATGTATTTGAGGACAACATTTTTGCAGTGAAGCAAGAGAGAGAGCAGCATATGTAGAAAGTTGCCATGTCAGATACAAGGGAGACAAAAGAATTTACATTTTCTGAAGTGCAACAGGAACTGCATATTCATAATGCTGATTGATATTTATAAATCCTGAATAAATTATCCAAATTCACAAGACATTTCATTATGTAAAGTAAATTCATTTTCTAAGGAAAGCAGGTAGGTAAAAAATAGAAAAAGAGAAAAACATAAGCAGTTGTTTTGAGGTGGGGTACTTTTGTCTTTTCATACCTTGGGTCACAGGTAGCAGGATTAATGGGCCCACATGGCTTGTATACCATGCTTTCTGGACATTTGTATGCTGTATGGAAAAAGGAGGAAAAAGACAAAAAATTGACAGTAGATGCATTTTTGCAGCAAAAGTGACTACAGCTTTACCACCTTCATCTGCAGCTTCTGTAAGGATGTTGCTGTATTTTTGTAGACAGTAGTCAAGTGTTAGATATAAGATGTGTTGACTGAATAAAATGCTAATTACTACTATTTCTCACACATTTTTGAGTTCTGCAGTACTTACGGCATGTGTTGTTGGTCTTCCCTCTCCAGTCAATGCAGACACCTCTAGCAGCACACTCTGTAGCATACATCTCTAGACTGGAACACTGCACAGATTCATCAGCTACGCGACATCCGTCAAACATACAGCCTTTGAAAAATGGTTCTGGTGGTATCACGGCATGGCATTCTGCAAAAATCCTGTAGGCAGAGAAGAAACCAAACCCATTTTATATTAACCAGTCAGTATATAAAATACAGCACTTCTCAGTTAATGGCATGTGACTCTGCTTCAGGAAGGAATGTATTATGAGAAACAGAACCCTAAGAATGGTCAATAATCTGGGAGATAGATTCAGGAAAGGAAAGGTTAGAAAATTTGAAACTCCTTTTTTTTTTTCTAAAGAGGCTAATGGTCGTAGTTTTTCTGTATGCATACACAAGTTTTCATCAGTCTGACTGCAGAAATTTCATGAAAAAGGCAACAACATCAGATTGAGAAAAAATGGATGATAGAAGTAGCCGAGAGACAGAAAAATTGCACATACAATAGCTCATAATTACTAGACATTACAGCAAGCATGTGTAAAAGGGCCTTTAAAAGTGACCCAGCTGATAAAAAGCTTTTGTCAGACCTCACACAAATATAGGAAATGCCACAGGAAAAAAAGCCTTTGTGCTTGTGGAGCTTCATGTTTTACATAAAATATACAAAGAATGAAGGACACTTTTTGGCTAGATATTTCTGTCTGCTCTGTTAAACTGGTTGGTAACAAGGTTCTTTACAGCTTGTACTGAACGCCCACTTCAAATTTAAAGTTTAGTCTTTACTTAATAGTGTAAATAAGAGTGAGTGAGCATACCCTGGAAGGTAGGGAGAGAGAAAGATAACCTGAATCTGTGTGATTGCAACACAGGTAATATGGATTTCAGTGATTGCTGCATCCCTGTTTTCTGACTACACCTCTCCTTGCTCGGTTATCTTTGGCATGCAAGTCATTAAAGAAGAGCAGTTCCTTTTGCAAAGGCCTTTTACTGTATATATCCTGTCATTAAACTGGCATTTTCAACTATTATCATATACTAGGGCTATGGTTCTTACTATTCTTGTAAGATACTGAGACAGTTTTGTCTAGAAAGAGTGAATTAATTCAGTTTTTTTCTTACTTGCTCCAGATAAGCTTGCAGAGATGAGGTGTTTCACATTGAGGTTTTGGTGAAGGTGTGGTTACAACTGGTGGTATCGGTACTCCGTGGCATGACTTGTTGTTATCAACAATCCAGTGATGAGCCATTTGGGGACAGGAAGAAATGACCTTACCACTTGGTAAGCGGCATTCATCTAATTTATTATTTGTACATGTTCCTGGAAGAGACAAGCTATGTAAGTCTCACAAGCCACATCAGAGATGCGCAAGACATTCTTGTGCTGATATCACATTTAGAAGTGATGTGCTCATGAAATGTATAATGTGCCTTGCTTCATAGGGATTGCTTTCTTTACAGTTATATGAGCTTTAATTTAGGTTAGGGAAAAAGAAACAAACCTAAAACCCCATCCCCAAAGAAAAAAAAAAGGTTGCTGAAATATTGAGGTTTTGATCCCACAGAAGTTGAAGAGCAGAACTGTTTTCATTTCCATTTTACTGCTGTTTAAAAATATCTCTCAGCTGTAAGACTGCATAGCTACAGTGGGTG